ATATATATATATATATATATATATATATATATGTCGTACCTAGTAGCCAGAACGCACTTCTCAGCCTACTATGCAAGGCCCGATTTGCCTAATAAGCCAAGTTTTCATGAATAAATTGTTTTTCGACTACCTAACCTACCTAACCTAACCTAACCTAACTTTTTCGGCTACCTAACCTAACCTAACCTAACCTATAAAGATAGGTTAGGTAGGGTTGGTTAGGTTCAGTCATATATCTACGTTAATTTTAACTCCAATAAACAAAAATTGACCTCATACATAATGAAATGGGTAGTTTTATCATTTCATAAGAAAAAAATTAGAGAAAATATATTATTTCATGAAAACTTGGCTTATTAGGCAAATCGAGCCTTGCATAGTAGGCTGAGAAGTGCGTTCTGGCTATTAGGTACGACATATATATATATATATATATATATATGCAAACAAGCCTGAATGGTCCCCAGGACTATATACAACTGAAAACTCACACCCCAGAAGTGACTCGAACCCATACTCCCACAACTGGTATGTACAGGGACGCCTTAATCCGCTTGACCATCACGACCGGACATAAGGAAGTGATAGCCGAGGCTATATGAACCACTTCCCCGCCGGCACTCGGATGGTAATCTTGGGCATAGCATTTTATCAAATCACCTCATTCTTTGGGGCACACGTGAGGAACACAAATTTGTGTTCCTCACGTGTGCCCCAAAGAATGAGGTGATTTGATAAAATGCTATGCCCAAGATTACCATCCGAGTGCCGGCGGGGAAGTGGTTCATATAGCCTCGGCTATCACTTCCTTATGTCCGGTCGTGATGGTCAAGCGGATTAAGGCGTCCCTGTACATACCAGTTGTGGGAGTATGGGTTCGAGTCACTTCTGGGGTGTGAGTTTTCAGTTATATATATATATATATATATATATATATATATATATATATATATATATATATATATATATCCAGAGAGGAAATGCTCATATATATATATATATATATATATATATATATATATATATATATATATATATATATATATATATATATATATGTCGTACCTAGTAGCCAGAACGCACTTCTCAGCCTACTATGCAAGGCCCGATTTGCCTAATAAGCCAAGTTTTCCTGAAATAATATATTTTCTCTATTTTTTTATGAAATGATAAAGCTACCCATTTCATTATGTATGAAGTCAATTTTTGTTATTAGAGTTAAAATTAACGTAGATATAAGACCGAACCTAACCAACCCTACCTAACCTAACCTAACCTATCTTTATAGGTTAGGTTAGGTTCGGTAGCCGAAAAAGTTAGGTTAGGTTAGGTAGGTTAGGTAGTCGAAAAACAATTAATTCAAGATGTATTTAATATACGAAAGTACTTAAGGAAATTCCTGTTTCATTTTCCTCCGTGGTCTGACATTGTCATATATATATATATATATATATATATATATATATATATATATATATATATATATATATATATATATATATATATATATACATATATATATATATATATATATATATATATATATATATATGTTTCATTGAATATGACCGCATATTCTGTATTTATTATTTTCTGGTTTAGGGCTTCTATCCCTCTAACTATTTTCTTAGCATCAGGGCTTAATTGAAATATGAGTTCTCCAAAACTCATTTTCGTACTTTTAAGGTGAAGAAAAGAAGTGATTTACTATAGAGTGTATTACACTTATTTGTATAATTTGCACGACGTTTCGAACCTCCATGGTTCATTCTCAAGTGAACAGATCTTACAATACTAGTTGATTTTATACCCGCATTAGGTCAGGTGATAATACAATGAAGGTGAAAACACGGGGGGATACATAAGGGATAAACATAGGGGCTGCAGAAGGCTTATTGGCCCATACGAGGCATCTCCTATCTAAACACAAAGATTAATCCAGTGTAATTGGCCTGTTATGTTGGACATTGTCTTTCAATTAAGCCCTGATGCTAAGAAAATAGTTAGAGGGATAGAAGCCCTAAACCAGAAAATAATAAATACAGAATATGCGGTCATATTCAATGAAACATGTTTGAAAGAAAACCTGCTGCCAGTATACACCAATATATATATATATATATATATATATATATATATATATATATAAGAAAATGCATAAATAATAGCAATGATAGGTCATATTATAATCATAACATTCACAGATTACTACACTCTACAAGTCTAAATTGGCCTCATTAGGCTTCAACTACTGATAATATTTCTGACAAATAATCAAAGATATTTTTTGAGAACCTGAATATTTTGTAAACACTGTAAATTTTATATACACTTTCTATTTGTTGGACACGTTTTATATTTTGCGAATTCCCTATATATTTTGTTTGAGGAAACTATATGATGGGCAACATGTACATTTTTTTGAAAGATGTGTAGGCTTAAATTTTCATAAATAAATTTAACGTATATGCTGGTTACTCTTACCTGCATTGTTAATTGTTGACATCTTCCTGTTATTTTCCTGAATATGTAATGAACACTTACAAAGAGCACAAACACTAGAAGATAACACGGACACTTTAGATAACTTGCTGCCGTGGACACATGGCGATGTATTGAGCCCATTACTGGCACCTCTCGACGAGGCAGATGGCTCTGGCTACGAAGACCATTTTGGATCGACACGGACAGTAGTGATTACCTCAGATACTTTGTAAGCGTGAGAGACAGAGAGAGTAGGATTGAGGTTAGGGGGAAGTTGCCCGAGCAACTGCCGGTGGCTCCGACTGGCGGCGGCCAATATCGGTCATCATACGACCTGCAGATGATCCGATATCGGGGTGAAGGGTGGATTTGCACGCAAACACCCCTCACAATATGGGTTCAGATACAGCTGCCAGGGTGATGGAGGGCACTGTCGCGCGCGAACAATAAGGGTTTAGATGCTGTAAATGTGAGTTGACCGCCTGATCTCATTGACGTAGACCAGGGTAGATATATTCATGAATGCGTTTGGGTGGATATAAATAAGAGCTGCCTCATACGAGCCAATAGGTCTTTGCAATTTCCTTAATTCTTATGCTAATATATGTCTGAAGACCTATGCCTAAATCGTTTCAATGGGGAATATGTACTATATTACATTTACCTGAATTATATAAAAATTTTGACTGTGATTTGTTTAAGCTATTGATAATATACAGGTCCGTGATGGTATCTATTATTTAAACCTATATCCTACTTCCATCACCTGGCCTCGTCAATAGTTCTTGTACAGTTGGTTGATATAACTGGTGCTTTGAGTCCCACCAAACCGGTCCACCTCACCACCACAAGCCCTCACCCGTGTCCACCTCACCACCACAAGCCCTCACCCGTGTCCACCACACCACCACAAGCCCTCACCCGTGTCCACCTCACCACCACAAGCCCTCACCCGTGTCCACCTCACCACCACAAGCCCTCACCCGTGTCCACCTCACCACCACAAGCCCTCACCCTTGTCCACCTCACCACCACAAGCCCTCACCCGTGTCCACCACACCACCACAAGCCCTCACCCGTGTCCACCTCACCACCACAAGCCCTCACCCGTGTCCACCTCACCACCACAAGCCCTCACCCGTGTCCACCACACCACCACAAGCCCTCACCCGTGTCCACCTCACCACCACAAGCCCTCACCCGTGTCCACCACACCACCACAAGCCCTCACCCGTGTCCACCTCACCACCACAAGCCCTCACCCGTGTCCACCTCACCACCACAAGCCCTCACCCGTGTCCACCACACCACCACAAGCCCTCACCCGTGTCCACCTCACCACCACAAGCCCTCACCCGTGTCCACCTCACCACCACAAGCCCTCACCCGTGTCCACCTCACCACCACAAGCCCTCACCCGTGTCCACCACACCACCACAAGGCCTCACCCGTGTCCACCTCACCACCACAAGCCCTCACCCGTGTCCACCTCACCACCACAAGCCCTCACCCGTGTCCACCACACCACCACAAGCCCTCACCCGTGTCCACCTCACCACCACAAGCCCTCACCCGTGTCCACCTCACCACCACAAGCCCTCACCCGTGTCCACCACACCACCACAAGCCCTCACCCGTGTCCACCACACCACCACAAGCCCTCACCCGTGTCCACCACACCACCACAAGCCCTCACCCGTGTCCACCTCACCACCACAAGCCCTCACCCGTGTCCACCTCACCACCACAAGCCCTCACCCGTGTCCACCTCACCACCACAAGCCCTCACCCGTGTCCACCTCACCACCACAAGCCCTCACCCGTGTCCACCACACCACCACAAGCCCTCACCCGTGTCCACCACACCACCACAAGCCCTCACCCGTGTCCACCACACCACCACAAGCCCTCACCCGTGTCCACCACACCACCACAAGCCCTCACCCGTGTCCACCACACCACCACAAGCCCTCACCCGTGTCCACCACACCACCACAAGCCCTCACCCGTGTCCACCACACCACCACAAGCCCTCACCCGTGTCCACCACACCACCACAAGCCCTCACCCGTGTCCACCACACCACCACAAGCCCTCACCCGTGTCCACCACACCACCACAAGCCCTCACCCGTGTCCACCACACCACCACAAGCCCTCACCCGTGTCCACCACACCACCACAAGCCCTCACCCGTGTCCACCACACCACCACAAGCCCTCACCCGTGTCCACCACACCACCACAAATCCTCACCCGTGTCCACCACAAACCCTCACCCGTGTCCACCATACCTCCAAGCCCTCACCCGTGTCCACCACACCACCACAAACCCTCACCCGTGTCCACCATACCACCAAGCCCTCACCCGTGTCCACCACACCACCAAACCCTCACCCGTGTCCACCTCACCACCAAGCCCTCACCCGTGTCCACCAGATAACACGAGTTGTAATCTTATCTCCATGGACTGAGACCAGGGGATGGGTAGATACCCTTATGATATCTCTTAACCTCAAGTTTCCTTAATCCAAATATCTTCTTCCCCGCAGCAAACTAAACCCGTCAAATCCGCATAACATTATCACGCTTTAGAACTGAACATCATTAGACTCGAAGCTATATGTTACAGACTGTGAGGGATGTGTAACAGATAAATGAGTGTGGAAGCGTAGTGTTGTGAGGTGCTGCAGGTTTGGTGGTGGTCAGTGGTTCAGTGGTCGTCGAGCCGTCATGCAGAGTAGGCTGTGTGTCGTCGCTCTCCTCATCGCCTATGTAAGTTCAGCCGTCATTATTGTCACCTTCTTGAGGTTATTTTGAGATGATTTCGGGGCTTTTTAGTGTCCCCGCGGCCCGGTCCTTGACCAGGCCTCCACCCCCAGGAAGCAGCCCGTGACAGCTGACTAACACCCAGCTACCTATTTTACTGCTAGGTAACAGGGGCATAGGGTGAAAGAAACTCTGCCCATTGTTTCTCGCCGGCGCCTGGGATCGAACCCAGGATCACAAGTCCAGCGTGCTGTCCGCTCGGCCGACCGGCTCCCTTAGTGATCGTTGTTAGACAAACTAACAATTTGTTTGTAAATTAGGCTTAGGAAGGTTAGGTAAGTTTGTCAAAGCAACACATGTAAAAAGGGGGGTAGAAATAGCCTAAGTTACTCTATCCCTTTGAGATGCATTTCTTTCTTGTCTCAATAAACATACTTGAACAAGTAAAAAATAAGTTTTCCGGTTTGTCCAACAATGTCTCAATTAATGTGAGGATTTTTGCATTACAGAATTATTGTTCAAATATATTATAATAAAACACGGATAATTACAAGTGGAGAACTAATTCTAACTAATAGTTTACTAAGAGTTTTTTCGTAATTAAACAATACATGTATATCAAAAAGTTTCAAGAGAAGCGGAGAGCATATATCATTTTTTTTAAATTTTAGAATATTGAGTTTTATAGAATGTTTGTGTTTAATAGTTCCTCAAAGATGGTGTTAATGAATGACCTTGATCAGGTGGTGCTTTACGGGGAAAATTTGTTTACTGAGAATTATATCAAATATATATATAAATGTCATAATTTCCCCAGTAAATTATTGTAAATATAATCTCTAAAATTGTAAATCATTTAAAGAAAAATAATTATAACATTTAGAGGTTTAAAGTTTATGCTCTGTGATAATATGAAACATTTGTTTACTGAGAATTATACTACTGTATATGTAATGTAGTATTGCCTTGTAACGTTTATGTATATAGGATTTATATTGTATTTTATTAAATAAAGATAAATAAATCAGGTGGTGGTGGTGGCGCGGGCTAGCTGGCTAGAGTGGGCCCAGGCTGACCAACATGACTCCAACGAGGTTAGTTCCTGCAAGACACTGATTCACGAAGCAGTTACGCAAGCACATACGAACCTGGGGCCAGATTCACGAAGCAGTAACGCAAGCACTTACGAACGTGTACATCTTTCCTCAATCTTTAACGGCTTTGGTTACATTTATTAAACAGTTTACAAGCATGAAAACTTGCCAACCAACTGTTGTTATTGTTATAAACAGCCTCCTGGTGCTTCGGAGCTCATTAACTGTTTAATAATTGTAAACAAAGCCGCCAAAGATTGAGGAAAGATGTACAGGTTCGTAAGTGCTTGCCTAACTGCTTCGTGATTCTGGCCCCAGGTTCGCAAGTGCTTGCGTAACTGTTTCATGAATCTGGGTCAGTTGTTGTTACTATTATTCTATACGGGGACAGTGAGACCCCGGGCACTTCCGGCTACCCTATTTACTATCTTATATTAAATATATTTGCTAATCTTATAAAATATAAGAGTAGGAAATATAATAGCTTAGGAAAATATAATAGATGAAGAATATATAATAGAGAAAGCATTATAGAATACGAAGCTGCAGCCCGTCCTGTTTAGACAGTACCTCTTGTGACGGTCGACAATAGTCAGAATCCGTACGTTCTTAGTTTTTAGATAGTAGTATACTGACTAGTAAGGAATTATTTAAAATAAATGCACATAAAACACGAACTTAAATATTTCTCGGCCTAATATATAGTACATATGTATTATATTAGGTCTCAGATATCGTGAATTAGGCCTAGGAAGGCTAGGCTAGGAAGGTTAGGCTAGTTTAGTTTGTCAAGGCAACACAAGTCAAAGATAATTTTCTGTTGTGTCCAACTCAATAGTTCAGATGTCTACGTTCTAATTTTGTTACAGGTCGGAATATATACTATGGTCCTCCTTGTTACTATAAGTAAAAAAAAGTACTACCAAAACAGCAGGATTGGCTGGAAAATATGATAGATTAAACAAGTGACATATGAGGTACAGCCAACTGTTATCACAGTCCTCTGTGTTGGATGATAAACGTTAGATTGATGAAGATTAAGCCACCATAGAGGTGGCACGGGCATGAATAGCCCGCAACTGGTAGATTTTTTAGAGTGAATGTGATCTTTGGTGGTGAAAGGATGTACTGTGTGCTGAGTGCACATTTAAACTGTCAGTCCTTACTATATGACTGCTATCGCGGGGGAGGATACTGCATGACAGTGTTTATGGGGGTGGCTAGTCGTTGTTGGTTTAGATTTAGCTACTCAGAACGAAATGTCTATGTAGCACGGACTATGGTGAGCCCGTAATGGGATAGTCGTTTCCAGCAGTGTTATATATATAGTGCACGTATACACATTGAAGCAGGACGGCCGAGGGAGCGAGGTGGAACACATGATGGAGGCCGTCAAGACCGCCTTCCGCGAGCTGAGTTCGAAGCGCAGTACCTGGTACTCCAAGTACCACGCCCTCGCCACCGACGCCGCCAACAACTCCGCCATCATCACCGAACTCTTGGGCATCAGCAGGTAAGTTTGATGTCAGTGTTACCATCAGTAGCTAACTCTAGTGTCAGTGTTACCATCAGTAGCTAACTCTAGTGTCAGTGTTACCATCAGTTGCTAACTCTAGTGTCAGTGTTACCATCAATAGCTAACTCTAGTGTCAGTGTTACCATCAGTAGCTAACTCTAGTGTCAGTGTTACCATCAGTAGCTAACTCTAGTGTCAGTGTTACCATCAGTTGCTAACTCTAGTGTCAGTGTTACCATCAATAGCTAACTCTAGTGTCAGTGTTACCATCAGTAGCTAACTCAAGTGTCAGTGTTACCATCAGCAGCTAACTTTAGTGTCAGTGTTACCATCAGTAGTTAACTCTAGTGTCAGAGTTACCATCAGTTGCTAACTCTAGTGTCAGTGTTACCATCAATAGCTAACTCTAGTGTCAGTGTTACCATCAGTAGCTAACTCTAGTGTCAGTGTTACCATCAGTAGCTAACTTTAGTGTCAGTGTTACCATCAATAGTTAACTCTAGTGTCAGTGTTACCATCAGCAGCTAACTTTAGTGTCAGTGTTACCATCAGCAGCTAACTTTAGTGTCAGTGTTACCATCAGTAGTTAACTCTAGTGTCAGTGTTACCATCAGTTGCTAACTCTAGTGTCAGTGTTACCATCAGTAGCTAACTCTAGTGTTAGTGTTACCATCAGCAGCTAACTTTAGTGTCAGTGTTACCATCAGTAGTTAACTCTAGTGTCAGTGTTACCATCAGTAGCTAACTTTAGTGTCAGTGTTACCATCAGCAGCTAACTTTAGTGTCAGTGTTACCATCAGTAGCTAACTCTAGTGTCAGTGTTACCATCAGTAGTTAACTCTAGTGTCAGTGTTACCATCAGTAGCTAACTCTAGTGTCTGTGTTAGCAATGTCTAGCCTAATATGGATGTGAACTATGGTACATAAAGAAATGCTGACAATCGACTTGAGAATGATCCGTGACGGACCGAAACGTTGTCGTCCCTTCACTTTTTAGTGTGTGGTGTGGTCAACATATTTCAGCCACGTTATTGTGACTCCTCGCCTGAGAAATGCTGGCCTTGGTAAGCTTAATTGAGTATGGAGGGAAGTTCTAGACGTATCTGGGGATACATCCTCGCACTCATTGCAATTTTCTAACTGACCTGAAAAAAAAATATTTAAAAACAAATGATATTCCTTTTTTTCTGAAAGGAATCAGTCATCCAGCAGACTCAATCAACTCCTTTTCAAACCACTCCAACTTTTCCAGAATTGTTAGGAAATATAACTTATAAATTAGTGATATATATAATGATATTATAGCAGGTCCGCAGTATAGAATATAACATGTAGGTAACACGGAAACCCCAGCTGGATATTTGGAACTATTTAGAACTATTGTCACGAACAGCTGGCTCATTGACAGGCATTATGAGTACCATTGAAGTAAGTACTATGTTGCATGAGTTGTATTATTTGGAGTGATTTTGCCCCATGATAGCCCCGGAATTTGTTGACGTAGAATGCTGAGCATGTGCACATCTCTATAAGTTTATGGTATGATTAATTTATATTAGTCCTACTTCAAATTGTCTTCTCATCATCGCAATTTTGTCATATAAATTGCGTCACTTTATGTCTTACAGTTTTACCTTTCAAATTGTAAGCTAAATGTTACTGTAAGTCATAAATGTAAGTGTGATTTACACTACTGTTCACCTGTTTAGTTCAGCCAATATTGTAATGATTTGTATGTTACGAATTAACATTCTGAGTGTTACCACTATAGTGCCTGAGGAGCTTCAGTTGCCCGTTATAGTGCCAGAGTGCCAGCACAACTCTCCTATGCCCCATGCCCTCCCAGGATCGCCATGCCCATCATCTGGAACGCGTACATCGGGAGTCAGTTGACAGAGAGGCTGCAGAAGCTACGCCCGGGGAACGTCAGGACCTTCTCTCCCTCTGCTGGACATTCCTCCGCAACACAGGGGCTGGAGATGGTGTCTACCGACCTCACCAACCACCAGGACTTCACAGTCGAGGTCATACTTAAACTCACTGAGGAAGCTAGGTCGGTCCTTATAATAATAATAATAATATTTTATTTATTTGATATATTAGGAACTAATTAGTGTTAATTAGTAAGTTCAGAATTTTTATATTTTATAAAGTCAGTAATTAAATATAAGGTTGTGGGCAGAGCAGTGTATGTTATCTTAGTTTAAAATAATACTGGTGTAATATTTGGTCTGCCTTGACCAAGCTGTCGTCAATAATCATTCATCAAATATTACGTTCGAATAACATTATATGGTGTATAATTCTTGTGTGATATTAGAAATACATTATGAGAATATTAATATTATTAAGAGTTAAGTTGTTATGTTATCAATACTGCCACTGTTGTCCCAAGCATCTTGCAAGCCCTAGCCACTATCCAGCTCTCACCAACCCCTGTCTATACTTTACCTGTCACTGTCGATGTCTGTCGCACCCCCAAAGCCTGTCATTACTTACCGTCAAGTACTTCCCAGTGTCTGTCACCTCCCCGCCCTTGCTTGTGATCAACCCTTCGTCTAACTCCAGCTGGTAGCAGCTTGAACCGCTAGTTAATACTTGCTTGACCAGAGGCGCTCACTCTCGTTGTTCTTGCCGCCATGTTGGGTACTGGTAGTGTGGGTCTGCGCCTGATGCTGGAGCCAGAGGACGGCCAGGAGCTGAACCGTGACGACGGTGACGTCTTGGTCGACGCTCACTTCAACTGGCAGACTACAGACTCGACCAGTCGGTAAGGTGGCCACTTCTCACTCCTCACTTGGTGTATAATAGGTAGCTCTGATGTTGTTAATAATAATCAAATATTTCAGGACACACGCACATACACCCTCACACCAAGCCTCACCCTCTCCCTCACACTCAGCCTCACCCTCTCCCTCACACCCAGCCTCACCCTCTCTCTCACACCCTCAACAGAGAAGTGGTGCTCAACGACAAGTACGGAGGAGTATGGGGCCCCCAGGAGGCCGTGTACGGGGGCCCGAGGTGGCCCAGCCTGGTGGTGGGGGAGAAGTTCCAGCTCTCACTCATCAAGGTGAGTGGCCCTCCACCCGTCCTCCACACTCATAGTATCTATACCATCTGTTGGCTGGAATGTACAAACATGGACTGTTGCCGATAAAGTTCATGTTCTGTACTATTAGTTGTATATGGGGACACGAACAAAGTCAAAACCAAACCTAATCTTTTCTCTGCTTCCGATAGCACATTTATGTACCTAATTAGGCCTACTATAGCGTATATTAGGCCTTATATTGCTTAGTTAGGCCTGGGAATGCCGGGTTAGGTTCAGTAGTTACCGTTCTGTTGCTTTAGCATGCCATTTGGGTCAATATAATAGTACAAAACGTGAATTTTTTTGGGCCCTTAATGTTTTGGGCCGTGAAGTACATTTTTGTACATTTAACCAAATATTTGATATAATTAATATAATTTCCTGACTATGAGGCGAGGTTAACCTCACCTGCGCCAGCTGTGTCATGGCGGCTATTCACCATCCTCCTGGGAATGTATTTGTGTTCATTAATGTATAAAATCCCCATTGTGTGTCGTGTAGCTCAGTGGTCTGCGTCATCGACTCAACTGAAGGATCCAGGTTCAATTCTTGGATGGGACGGAATCAATATGGCAGCGTTTTCTTTTACCTTATGCGCCTGTTCACCTAACAATAAATAGGTACCATTGACTTGGAGAACCGTTATGGGTTTCATCCCAGGGAAGGTCAGAATAGGTAGCCTAACGATACACAGATATGCATAGGCTTCCTGTCCCAGACAACCAGAATTATCAATCGATATTACTCCTTTGAACATTTGAACATGTGCGTTCAATGAACTTTTGAACATATTATCAGGGAAATAATGATGTCTATAGTGTATGTAAAACTCCTTATTCCACCACCATAATATATTGCAGAAAGGCGAGTGTTTCAGCCTATTTGTGAGGACGGGCAAGGATGTGTACCTGCAGGAACCTGCGCTTACCTTGCCTTATACCTTCTGTCCTCAGGTGGGTTGCTGTGTCCCCAGGTGGGTTACTGTGTCCCCAGGTGGGTTACTGTGTGTCCAGGTGGGTTACTGTGTGTCCAAAGGTGGGTTACTGTGTGTCCAGGTGGGTTACTGTGTGTCCCCAAGTGGGTTACTGTGTCCCCAGGTGGGTTACTGTGTCCCCAGGTGGGTTACTGTGTGTCCAGGTGGGTTACTGTGTGTCCAGGTGGGTTACTGTGTCCCCAGGTGGGTTACTGTGTGTCCCCAGGTGGGTTACTGTGTGTCCCCAGGTGGGTTACTGTGTGTCCAGGAGGGTTACTGTGTGTCCAGGTGGGTTACTGTGTGTCCAGGTGGGTTACTGTGTCCCCAGGTGGGTTACTGTGTGTCCAGGTGGGTTACTGTGTGTCCAGGTGGGTTACTGTGTTCCCAGGTGGGTTACTGTGTGTCCCCAGGTGGGTTACTGTGTGTCCCCAGGTGGGTTACTGTGTGTCCAGGTGGGTTACTGTGTGTCCAGGTGGGTTACTGTGTGTCCAGGTGGGTTACTGTGTGTCCAGGTGGGTTACTGTGTCCCCAGGTGGGTTACTGTGTGTCCCAAGGTGGGTTACTGTGTGTCCAGGTGGGTTACTGTGTGTCCAGGTGGGTTACTGTGTGTCCAGGTGGGTTACTGTGTCCCCAGGTGGGTTACTGTGTGTCCAGGTGGGTTACTGTGTCCCCAGGTGGGTTACTGTGTGTCCAGGTGGGTTACTGTGTGTCCAGGTGGGTTACTGTGTGTCCAGGTGGGTTACTGTGTGTCCAGGTGGGTTACTGTGTGTCCAGGTGGGTTACTGTGTCCCCGGGTGGGTTACTGTGTGTCCAGGTGGGTTACTGTGTGTCCAGGTGGGTTACTGTGTCCCCAGGTGGGTTACTGTGTCCCCAGGCGGGTTACTGTGTGTCCCCAGGTGGGTTACTGTGTGTCCAAGTGGGTTACTGTGTGTCCAGGTGGGTTACTGTGTCCCCAGGTGGGTTACTGTGTCCCCAGGTGGGTTACTGTGTGTCCCCAGGTGGGTTACTGTGTGTCCAAGTGGGTTACTGTGTGTCCAGGTGGGTTACTGTGTCCCCAGGTGGGTTACTGTGTCCCCAGGTGGGTTACTGTGTGTCCCCAGGTGGGTTACTGTGTGTCCCCAGGTGGGTTACTGTGTCCCCAGGTGGGTTACTGTGTCCCCAGGTGGGTTACTGTGTGTCCAGGTGGGTTACTGTGTGTCCAGGTGGGTTACTGTGTCCCTAGGTGGGTTACTGTGTCCCCAGGTGTGTTACTGTGTCCCCAGGTGGGTTACTGTGTGTCCAGGTGGGTTACTGTGTCCCCAGGTGTGTTACTGTGTCCCCAGGTGGATTACTGTGTCCCCAGGTGGGTTACTGTGTCCCCAGGTGGGTTACTGTGTCCACAGGTGGGTTACTGTGTCCCCAGGTGGATTACTGTGTCCCCAGGTGGGTTACTGTGTCCCCAGGTGGGTTACTGTGTCCACAGGTGGGTTACTGTGTGTCCCAAGGTGGGTTACTGTGTCCCCAGGTGGGTTACTGTGTCCCCAGGTGGGTTACTGTGTCCCCAGGTGGGTTATTGTGTGTCCAGGTGGGTTACTGTGTCCCCAGGTGGGTTACTGTGTGTCCAGGTGGGTTACTGTGTCCCCAGGTGGGTTACTGTGTGTCCAGGTGGGTTACTGTGTCCCCAGGTGGGTTACTGTGTCCCCAGGTGGGTTACTGAGTCCCCTGGTGGGCTACTGTGTCCCCAGGTGGGTTACTGTGTGTCCCCAGGTGGGTGACTGTGTGTCCCCAGGTGGGTTACTGTGTGTCCCCAGGTGGGTTACTGTGTGTCCCCAGGTGGGTTACTGTGTGTCCCCAGGTGGGTTACTGTGTGTCCCCAGGTGGGTTACTGTGTCCCCAGGTGGGTTACTGTGTCCCCAGGTGGGTTACTGTGTGTCCCCAGGTGGGTTACTGTGTGTCCCCAGGTGGATTACTGTGTGTCCCCAGGTGGGTTACTGTGTCCCCAGGTGGGTTACTGTGTGTCCCCAGGTGGGTGACTGTGTGTCCCCAGGTGGGTTACTGTGTGTCCCCAGGTGGGTTACTGTGTGTCCCCAGGTGGGTTACTGTGTGTCCCCAGGTGGGCTACTGTGTCCCCAGGTGGGTTACTGTGTCCCCAGGTGGGTTACTGTGTGTCCCCAGGTGGGTTACTGTGTGTCCCCAGGTGGATTACTGTGTGTCCCCAGGTGGGTTACTGTGTCCCCAGGTGGGTTACTGTGTCCCCAGGTGGGTTACTGTGTGTCCCCAGGTGGGTGACTGTGTGTCCCCAGGTGGGTTACTGTGTGTCCCCAGGTGGGTTACTGTGTGTCCCCAGGTGGGTTACTGTGTGTCCCCAGGTGGGTTACTGTGTGTCCCCAGGTGGGTTACTGTGTCCCCAGGTGGGTTACTGTGTCCCCAGGTGGTAGTGAGAGTCGTGACATAAGAGAGAGAAGTGTACTAAGACTCACCACACACTCCCGCCACAGGCCAGAAGACAGTCCAAGATGGCGCGGGAGGCGAGGCGCGTGACGGTGGTGGTTGACGAGGACCACATCCACGCCGGCGAGCTCCACCTCTACAGTGTCCTCTGGTACTAGTACCTCCCTCTATATGTCCCTGAGCCTCGTGGCGTCCCTCTCTAGGTCATTGAGCCTCGTGGCGTCCCTCTCTAAGTCCCTGAGCCTCGTGGCGTTCCTCTATAGGTCCCTGAGTCTCATGGCGTCCCTCTCTAGGTCCCTGAGCCTCGTGGCGTCCCTCTTTAGGTCCCTGAGCCTCGTGGCGTCCCTCTATAGGTCCCTGAGCCTCGTGGCGTCCCTCTCTAGGTCATTGAGCCTCGTGGCGTCCCTCTCTAAGTCCCTGAGCCTCGTGGCGTTCCTCTATAGGTCCCTGAGTCTCATGGCGTCCCTCTCTAGGTCCCTGAGCCTCGTGGCGTCCCTCTTTAGGTCCCTGAGCCTCGTGGCGTCCCTCTATAGGTCCCTGAGCCTCGTGGCGTCCCTCTCTAAGTCCCTGAGCCTCGTGGCGTTCCTCTATAGGTCCCTGAGCCTCGTGGCGTCCTTTTCTTGGTTCCTGAGCCTCATAGCGTTCCTCTGTAGGTCCCCTTGGCGTCCCTCTGCAGGTCCCTGAGCCTCGTGGCGTCCCTCTATAGGTCCCTGAGCCTCGTGGCGTCCCTTTCTAGGTCCCTGAGCCTCGTGGCGTCCCTCTCTTGGTCCCTGAGTCTCGTGGCGTCCCTCTCTAAGTCCCTGAGCCTCGTGGCGTTCCTCTATAGGTCCCTGAGTCTCATGGCGTCCCTCTCTAGGTCCCTGAGCCTCATGACGTTCCTCTATAGGTCCCCTTGGCGTCCCTCTCTAGGTCCCTTAGCCTCGTGGCGTCTCTCTATAGGTCCCCTTGGCGTCCCTCTTTTGGTCCTTGAGCCTCGTGGCGTCCCTCTATAGGTCCCTGAGCCTCGTGGCGTCCCTCTGTAGGTCCCCTTGGCGTCCCTCTCCAGGTCCCTGAGCCTCGTGGCGTCCCTCGTTTGGTCCTTGAACCTAGTGGTGTCCCTCTCTAGGTCTCTGAGCCTCGTGGCGTCCCTCTCTAGGTCCCTGAGCCTCATGGCGTCCCTCTCTAGGTCCCTGAGCCTCATGGCGTCCCTCTCTAGGTCTCTGAGCCTCATGGCGTCCCTCTCTAGGTCCCTGAGCCTCATATCGTCCCTCTCTAGGTCCCTGAGCCTCGTGGCGTCCCTCTCTAGGTCCCTGAGCCTCGTGGCGTCCCTCTCTAGGTCCCTGAGCCTCATGGTGTCCCTCTCTAGGTCCCTGAGCCTCGTGGCGTCCCTCTCTAGGTCCCTGAGCCTCATGGCGTCCCTCTCTAGGTCCCTGAGCCTCATGGCGTCCCTCTCTAGGTCCCTGAGCCTCGTGGCGTCCCTCTCCAGGTCCCTGAGCCTCATGGCGTCCCTCTCTAGGTCCCTGAGCCTCATGGTGTCCCTCTCTAGGTCTCTGAGCCTCGTGGCGTCCCTCTCTAGGTCTCTGAGCCTCATGGCGTCCCTCTCTAGGTCTCTGAGCCTCGTAGCGTCCCTCTATAGGTACCTGAGCCTCGTGGTGTCCCTCTATAGGTCCCTGAGCCTCGTGGTGTCCCTCTATAGGTCCCTGAGCCTCATGGTGTCCCTCTCTAGGTCCCTGAGCCTCATGGTGTCCCTCTATAGGTCCCTGAGCCTCGTGGCGTCCCTCTCTAGGTCCCTGAGCCTCATGGTGTCCCTCTATAGTTCCCTGAGCCTCGTGGCGTCCCTCTCTAGGTCCCTGAGCCTCATGGCGTCCCTCTCTAGGTCCCTGATCCTCATGGCGTCCCTCTCTAGGTCCCTGAGCCTCATGGCGTCCCTCTCTAGGTCCCTGAGCCTCATGGCGTCCCTCTCTAGGTCCCTGAGCCTCATGGCGTCCCTCTCTAGGTCCCTGAGCCTCATGGCGTCCCTCTCTAGATCCCTGAGCCTCGTGGCGTCCCTCTCTAGGTCCCTGAGCCTCATGGCGTCCCTCTCTAGGTCCCTGAGCCTCATGGCGTCCCTCTCTAGGTCCCTGAGCCTCATGGCGTCCCTCTAGATCCCTGAGTCTCATGGCGTCCCTCTCTAGGTCCCTGAGCCTCGTGGCGTCCCTTTCTAGGTCCCTGAGCCTCATGGCGTCCCTCTCTAGGTCCCTGAGCCTCATGGCGTCCCTCTCTAGGTCTCTGAGCCTCATGGCGTCCCTCTCTAAGTCCCTGAGCCTCGTGGCGTCCCTCTCTAGGTCTCTGAGCCTCATGGCGTCCCTCTCTAAGTCCCTGAGCCTCGTGGCGTCCCTCTCTAGGTCCCTGAGCCTCGTGGCGTCCCTCTCTAGGTCCCTGAGCCTCGTGGCGTCCCTCTCTAGGTCCCTGAGCCTCATAGCGTCCCTCTCTAGGTCCCTGAGCCTCATGGCGTCCCTCTCTAGGTCTCTGAGCCTCGTGGCGTCCTTGTCTAGGTCTCTGAGCCTCATGGCGTCCCTCTCTAGGTCCCTGAGCCTCATGGCGTCCCTCTCTAGGTCCCTGAGCCTCGTAGCGTCCCTCTCTAGGTCTCTGAGCCTCATGGCGTCCCTCTCTAGGTCCCTGAGCCTCATGGCGTCCCTCTCTAGGTCCCTGAGCCTCGTGGCGTCCCTCTAGGTCCCTGAGCCTCGTGGCGTCCCTCTAGATCCTTGAGCCTCATGGCCGCCCTGT